ATATATATATATATAACTTTGTGGACATATCCCCCCCACAGCTCCCTGAGTGACAGTGAGTGGTGGGAACTGAGGCCAGTAACAGCTGACTTCCTCCCATGTGCTCTCTCCATCTCGCCAGGAGCTCTGGCTGCCTGGGGAGAGAGGCCGGTCTGTTCCGTCGCCGGCTGGCAGGGGACTACAGCCTGGCAGCAAGAGCTGCGGGTTGGCTGCAGGCCGTAGGGGCGGGTCCATGGTGGGCAGGGGCTCATGGACCCGGTACCTATGGCCTACACCAGGTGTCCAGGAGCAGGGGGTGCATGGTCAGCAGGGCCTGTGTACCTCATTGGAGTGGGTGCGGTTCTGGTGCTTGGCGCGGTCGGACGCGTTGGAGAAGGCCTTGTTGCAGCCCTCGTGCTCACACACGTATGGCTTCTCTCCGGTGTGGGAGCGCAGGTGCGTCTTGAGATTCTCCAGGCGAGAGTAGGCCTTCGAACAGCCCTCGAACTGGGGAGAGGAGGTTCGGTCAGCGATGGCCCTCAGACCCAGGGCGCAGCGCCTGACCCGAGAGGCAACCCATGGCCTCCCCCAACCCCCAGCAATGCACACGTGTGTATTTTAACAATAACATTTAACTCCCATTCTGATGATAAAAAGGACATGTGGCCATTCTAAAAACTTAGAGAAGACTGAAAAGTACAAAGAAAAAAAAATTAAAACCATTGGCTGCCCAAGGACAGTGCCTGCCAACCTCCAGATAGGGCTCATTCGAGCAACTGAGCGGTTCACCCCGAGCAGTTTTTAAGCCAAAAGTTGCTTGATAAAATCAATAGCATATTGTGAGAATCTTCCCTGATCATTAAAAATCTTTGAAAATGTTATTTTTATCTGTTTCCCAAATGCCACTCCCTGATTAGAATTTTTTTTGTGTTGTAAAATGTGCTGAGAATAAAATTCAGAGTCCTCTGGGCGAGCCTGTCCCCCTCGGCCTTGCTCCTGCCACTAAGTGACACCACTAAATCCTTCAGGGCACACACGTCCCCTCTGGCTGGAACCTTTCTCCCCCTGGCTTGACTTGCTCCCTCTCAATCTTCTAGGTCATCTCCTCTGAGAGCACTTCTCTGATATTCTTAATCATCATATTCTACCCTTTATTCTCTCTAACACATTTATAATTATCTTAATCATTTGTTCACTGGCCTTCCCACGAGGATGCAAGGCTCTATGAGAGCAGCTAACTTCTAGGTCTTGTTCATTTCTGCGTTCCTAGTATTTAGCACCTGACAAGAAAGAAAATTTTTGGTAGGGAGGAAAAAGGTAAGAACAAGGGAGATATGGAGGGAAGGACTGAAAGGGGATAAGGGAGAAGGAGGGAGGGAAAGAGGGAAGCAGGAATGGAGGGAGGGTCTTTGTAGAGGGTTTATTCTAAAGATTCTTCCATTGCACCCAGTGGATCTGTGAAAACTGTTCCTGAGTGACAGGCAAAGCCCGTTGAACTCTCCTTAATATCCTCCTTTCCTTCTGGCCACTCTGACTGAGCACACTGGCTCCAGATACCTCTATCTGGTTCTATGTCAGGGCTCCTATGGCGTGGACTCTGGTTTCCTATCACGGAGGGTGTGAAGCAAAAAGCTTGCTGCAAAGGACTCAGGTGACTAAGCCATCTTACAAAAGAAGAACAACATTGGAGGCCTGACACTTCCCAGACTCAAAACTTCCTGCAAAACAACAGCAGGCAAGACCATGTGTGGTGTTAACAAAGGCACAGACATAGAGAGGGATGGAATAGGAGTTCAGAAATAAAGCCATCCTTTAAGGCCAACTTACTTCAACAAGGTGCCAAGACCGCTTCCTAGGTCTGGACACATGTAAGCCAGGCCTCAAGGCTGCAAGGCAGGAGGCCTAGAGCAGCCACAGACAGAATAGCCCAACAGTGTGCCTGTCCTAGGGTCACTGCCGTGGCCCTACAGACACTGCTGTGACCCAGCCCAGGGCTGCTGCTGCGGCCTGTCCCACAGATGCTGCCATGGCCCATCCCACAGACACTGCCGTGGCCTGTCCCACAGACACTGCTGTGGCCTATCCCAGGTTTGCTGCCGTGGCCCACCCCACAGATGCTGCCGTGGCCTTTCCCAGGGTCACTGCTGTGGCCGGTCCCACAGACGCTGCCGTGGCCCATCCCACAGACACTTCCGTGGCCTGTCCCAGGGCCACTGCTGTGGCTGGTCCCACAGACACTGCCATGGCCCATCCCATAGACACTGTCGTGGCCTGTCCCACAGACGCTGCTGTGGCCTGTCCCAGGGCCACTGCTATGGCTGGTCCCACAGACACTGCCGTGGCCTATCCCACAGACGCTGGCCCGTCCCAGGGCTTCTGCCGTGGCCGGTTCCAGATGCCGCTGCCTGCAAGGACTGCACGGGGGCCCACTCACCGTGCACTTGTGCGGCTTCTCGCCCGTGTGTCGGCGCATGTGCACCACCAGCATGTACTGTGCCTTGAAGGGCTTCTGCTCTCGAGTGCATGCCTGCCAGCGGCACACAAACTCCTTCTTCTCCCCGTGGATGTGCTCATTGTTGATGTGCTGTGGGAAGAGACCACGGAGGGGTGGGTTCTGCTGCCCGCCCCTCCCAACCTCTCCTGGGCGGCCAGACCATCTGCCCGCTTGCCCACCACCGACTGTCTGCAGATCATTCACCCCTTAAGACTACGTGCCAGGGCCCTCCCTGTGGCGCAGCGGGTTAAAGCACAGCACTGAGAATCTAAAGCCGCTTCCGCATGAGTTCGATTCCCGCCTGCCCCGGAGGTGACCACATGGCGCGGCAGACCTCTCCTGACCCACCCGCTGCTCCCCTCAGCAGTGTACTTTGTCGATCTGCCTGTTCTGCTCCCCACTCTGTCTCTGGTGAAGCCTCTCACCGCCTCTGAGCCTCTGGCCTGTACCCCAGTTCTGTATGCACAAATAAATAAATCTTCAAAAAAAAAAGGACTACGTGCCAGACCACACACCTCCTCACGCATTGTCATTCAGTGCCATTAAATGAAGCTCGACTGTGTGCTACTTGTCTCAAATGCATTTTTCAATTAGTCATTAAAGTGACTGATGAGAGTAAATTAAACTTTGGAATTAAACTGGGTCCTGGGTTGGGACCCCCATTAGCTCCTCAACCACTAGCAATATTTCCTTTGCCACAGCAGCCTCCTTCAGTGCCATCAGCACCCTCCCCACCTGCAGGAACAGGATGCACCCAGCACTTGCTAACTCTGAGCTTGCGAGGTGGACAAAAAGGCAAAGGGAACTCGAGTATAAAAGCTAGATCCCAACTCCTGTCACACAACAGGGAACCACTGACTTCTACCTTCTCCTCCCTTGGAAAGTCCTTTCTTCTTCTTTTTTAATGATTTATTTATTTGTGCATACAGAACTGGGGTATAGGCCAGAGGCTCAGGGGCGGCGAGAGGCTTCACCAGAGACAGAGTGGGGAGCAGGACAGGGAAATGGAAAAAGTGCATTGCTGAGGGGAGCAGCAGGCGAGACAAGAGAGGCCTGCCAGCTATGTGGGTCACCTCCTGGGCTGGGGATCAAACTCATACTGAAGCAGCGGTGGCTAGCTTGCCATGCTGCGTCCAACCCACTGCACCGCCAGGGAGGGCCTGGAAAGTACTTTCAATAAACTTTGCTTTACTTCTAATCTCTCAGTGTCTGTGGTTCTTCCGCATCTCATGCCGAGCTGACCTGAACCCTGCCCACCACACCTAGGATGGTCACAGGCACCCTGCTCACCTCAGGCTGGCCTCCTGGCTGGCCCCCTCTGATCCCTGGGGAGTTGGTGGTTATGATGATGGCCCCAGGTTACAAACAATAGGCACCCATTCGGCAATGAGACAGACATGCACCTATGGGTCCATGAGGATCCCAAGCTTGCCTATTACTCCAGGAATTTTTAAATAAAAATTTTCATTATAATGGAAATGTAAAAGAGTTTTGTCTCTATTTTGACAGTACACTATGAGATGACAGCTCTGTCCTTTTGCCAAGCCCCAGTGTTAAGTGGCCTGCTCATGGCCCAGGCAATCAGCATGGTAGAGCTAGATTCTAATCCTGCTGGTGGGCTCTGAGCACCATGTAAAGCTGCCCCTGGGTCAAAGTGGCCCAGGAGAGCAAGGTTGCCCAGCCAGATGGTGTGGCTGAAGGCTCCTGTACGGGGACCCTGGAGGAGCGGTCCCCAGACCAACCCCAGCCGCATTGTCCTAGCCCAGGCTGTGAGCTAACTTTTCTTTAGTCCAGGACCTGCACCCACACCTCTGGCCTCTACCTGGGCCTATCACCTGTGTCTACCCTGGAGTCATTTCCTCTGCAGTGTGGAGCAGGGGGACACAGAGGCTTCCCGTGACAGGCAACCAGTGACCTGTCTTGCGTAGACGCTTTGTCTGTGGTTACTTTGGTTATTTGACCAAAGGCTGCAGCCCTCCCTGGAGCAGGTATTACTACCCTACCCTTGGGCTACGTGAGTATGCAGGAGGCCTCTAGGACCACTGTACCCCTCCATCTTTCAGGTTGCTCATATAACTGAGGAGTGGGAATGGGGGGGGTTAAGTCACTCACACAGTAGAGTGAAAAAGTCTAGTGATATGCCACTGGGCTCTCTAAACACCACCAGGGGCCTCTCGGCCCACCAGGGGCCCCTCTGTGTCCAGCCTATACTGTGGGTGGGTCTGTGCTGCTTGCCACAGGGAGCTAGTCAAGGGGAAACACTTGGGTCTTGTGGGCCCCCTTTTCTCGCCTCTCCAGCTCCATTAATTTTCTTCTTACTGTTCTCACGCCCCTTTCTCCAGTTTCATTCCTTTCTACACATTCAGCTTTCCCTGCCACAACCTCCCCACCCATAGTCCAGTGCAGTGGTCATTCATTACTGAATGTGGCTGGTCTCAACTGGGATGGCTCTAAGTGTAAACTGCATGCTGTTTTCAAAGACCGATAATAGAAAATAAAAGGGTCACAAAATATGTCAATCACTGTTTTGTGTTGATTACAGATTGAAATGATATTGTAGATCCACTGGGTTATGTAGAACATTGAAATTAATTTCATCCTTTTCCTTTTACTCTTCTTAAAAATGTGTCCTGGGGGGACCTTTCCTGGTGGCCCAATGGGTAAGGATGCAGCATTGCAAGCTGGCTGCAGCTGCTTCAGCGTGAGTTCCATCCCCCGCTCTAGGGGTGACCCTCAGGGCACAGCAGACCTCTCCTGTCTCGCTGGCTGCTCCCCTTAGCAGTGTAGTTCGTTGACCTGCCCGTTCTGCTCCCCACACTTTCTCTGGTGAATCCTTCGCTGCCTCTGTGCCTCTGGCCTGCACCCCAGTTCTGTATGCATGAGTAAATAAATCTTAAAAAACAACAACAACAACAACGGTATTCCTAGGTAATCTAACATTGCACGAGTGCCTGTTATTTGTGGCTCACAATGTCTTTCCACTGGCCAGTGCTACTGTAGATCGTTTGCAATCTCTAAGACAGCCGAGGGCTGAGCGTGCAGGCAATGGCAACCTTGGGGGCAAACGGCTGGGCTCTCCTGCGTGAACCACGGGCTTGGCTGTCATGCAGACAAATGTACCATCGGGGCTAGTAAGGTCTACTGAGCTTCGAACTTCCAGGGGAATCTTATCACATTAGCCTCACTTCCATTTTTAAAGCCCTTCAAATGATAAAAATGCTTTCTGTCAATGACTTTCATTTTTTTCTTATTGGTTTACTTAGCAACAAATTGTTAACAATTGACAGGGGGTTCCAGCTCACCTGTGTGCCTGCTGCTCTCTGTCTGCAGGGGAGCAGAAAGAGTTAGGCAGAGGGGCGTGGCTCCCCACTAATGGGAGCTGGGTGTTTCCAGAGCCAGGTGGAGGCTGTCACCTCTAGCTGCAGACAGTCTGCAGCTGAAACCATCCTTCCCCTGTGGGGACCCATCTGCTTCCTGGGGCCAACTCATCATCTTTGAACATTGTTTACGTCCTCTTCCTGCCCCAGATACTGGCCCCTCTGTCCTTTTTTGATTCATTCTGATCTGTTCTACAAATCACATCTCCAGTGGCCTGTCTCTATCTCCAGCCATGTTTATCCAAAGAGATCCTACAGGTTGAAAAATGACGCCCAAGGTCCAGACAGATTAGGTCTGTCAGCTGTAAAGGGTTGGCTGGGAAATCCTAGTCTCCTGGGTAAGAATTTGGGGAGAAAAACCCGAATGCCAAAGTAATCTGTAGTATTTGAGCCGAGTGGCATGCCTGCAGGCAGCACAGAGAGTAAGCACGTCCTCAATGCCAAGTCCACGTCGATGGTTTCTGGATGAGAACAGTGTATGAGTGAACGCGTGTTGTGCGTCTACCCATGAAGGCTGCTCATTTACTGTGTCTGTACAGACACCGGCCTAGCAAGTAGTGTGTGCAGGGGGAAGAATTATTCCTGAATTTCAGTTCTCGTCTGCATGGAGAAGAGGGAACCATTCAGGTATGGCCCGGAAGGGGTGTGTGTGTGTGTGTGTGGGGGGAGACAGGGGAGAGGCGGGAGGGAGGTCATGTGTGTGGAATGCTGCTACCTGCGAAGGGTTTACCTTTGTGCCATATTCAATCTTTATCCCTCCATTTACAGGAGAGAAAAATGAGGTGCACAGAGGTTGTCACCTGTTCAGACCTCCTTGGCTGGCTGTGGTGGCGCCCAGCTGAAGTGCTCCCACACTGAGCCCCTGCTCGTCTTCTTCCTGCTGCATAAAGTTCCTGACTCCAGGCATACAGATGCTCCTGTAGAGTGGGGTCTGGAGCGGGCACCAAGTGATACACCCTGGAGGGCACACCCAGCTCCCATGGCCCTTCTTTTCTCTATCCACATCATCTGTGTACTTGCTTCTAAAAGCCTCCTCTTAGAAACAGGCAGGGCATACACAGATCATGTGCCCCACAGAAAGGGCATGTGGTCAGGGCTCTCCTGGTCTACTCCTCTAGTCCTGTCCCCCCATCAGAGGAGCCGGAAGACTCAAGGCCCCGTATGGCCTGCCCTCTGTGCCAAGGAGCAGGCTGCTGGGGCTTGGACACTTACATGCACCAGCTGCTCCTGGGTGTCGTATTCCTTGGTGCAGTCCTCCCAGTGGCAGTTGGTCTCATAGATGACCACCTCAGCCTCCTGCTTGCAGTCTTCCCTGTCAAGGTCTTCCTTGAGGTCAGCCAGCTGTTCCTGGGGGAGGAGCAGAACACATCGACCCGAGCCATGTTCAGCTATCTGGCCCAGAGGAAAGATCACTCTTGCCCCGGGCCATCTGTACCAAGGACCCCGGGCTGGTATAGGTGCAGACACACAAGGCCACACATACACATGCACCACATGCGCACACACAGGGATCACCCTCACATGTGTGCACACACACAAATGTGCTCATCAGCTTTCTCATCTCAGACTGACCTGTGTGTCTCCAAAATTGCCACAATTTTTCTTCATTTAACTTTAAACCCAAACATGGTTGCACCAGGGTCAGCTGGTCCAGTCCAGTCTGGAGTCCAGACCTCAGCTGGACTCCAAGCTCCTGATCATGCTGGGGCAATGGGTGTCCATTTTGGGGTGGTGAAGGCAGGTTCCTGAGATGTCTATACCCACACACGGGTGCCTAACATTCTTCTCAAAGATGACAAAGCCTTTTGTTCCTGAATCAGCAAGATACTGAGCATCACCCCTACAGTGTTGCCTCGCCCCAGCTGCTGCTAACACAGATGGTCGGGGGGAGTGGAGAAGGCTAGAAGGTGGCAGGAGCTGGGGGAAGGGAGCAGCATAGATACGCCAGGTTGGGATGAAGGCCCAGGGAAGACTTCTAGAGGATGTGGAGGATACTCCCAGATTCCACTGGCCTGCCGGGCAGGCTCAGAGTTGAGCCAAGCAGATGGTAGGATGTCTTGCTTTACATTTCAAGCTATGTCCCAAACAGTAGGAATTTCTCTCTTTGAAAAGCACCAGTTGCAAAATATGTATAGCTCAGATTAAGAGGGACAGCCTCTCTCCATAGTCAGAGCCCTCACACCCACAGGTCCAGAGCCTCCGAAGCTCCCGTGTCAGGCTTTTGACTAATGAGCAGTCCATTTCTAAGCAGGGAGAAGCCAGAAGCCAGCCTCAGACTCACAGCTCTGACTGACTTCCCACTGGAGCTGCAGAGTCCTACAAGAACTGGCCCCTTCAGCCAATGCATGTGTTCTGAATGTAAGGATGTGCATAGTACAGCCAGGTGGTCTTGGGGCCACAGCCGAAATAAGGGGCAGTAGAACATGGGCCCTAAATTCTCAGGTAAGGAGGTCTTCTAGGGCTGCAGGTTCCAAATACCCTCTGCAGTATCTGAAAAGCTGGAAATAGATTTACTATTTTCACAAGCTGCATGGCCGGCTTATTTCACAGGAGACTTGAAGAAGCTGCCAGATTGATAAGCGAGTGGAGGTCATCACGGTGGGGGTGGGGTGGGGTGAGTTGGGGGGGTAGGGGGTGGTTGAGTGGGTAGGGGGTGGTTGAGAGGGTAGGGGGTGTGCTCAGGCTGGGCAGCCTCCTAGTCCATGATTTTAGGGTTTAGTGGAGAGGGGATTCATCATGCTGCCTCTTCTGTCCAGGGAAAGCAAGCCCATTCACTTTGCAAATGAGTCAGGTCACTAATCAGAACTGAGTGGCACAGTGACAACTTACTGATGATAAACAGCCTTCCATTCATTGACACAACTGAGGAAGGAGCCAAGTTGGGCAGGAGGGAGGGCTTTGTGCGCACCCGCCCTAGGTGGAGGGGTTGGGGTACGGGGCTCCCAGGTGCTCAACGCCTTGCCAGCCCATTCTCACCACTTGGTCGTGTTATCTCACCTGGCTATGTGCCGTCCTCATCAATTTCAACAGCCCCCAGTGATGGCCAGCCTCGTGGAAACCATGCATCATGCTGAGATGCTTTGGCGTCAGCGAGGGGAGAATTTGTCACAACCCCTCTGTTTGCCTGACAATAACAGGACCTAATATTTCATAAAAATTAAGTGCCCGGAGCATGCCTGATGGTTTACAGCTCTGATAAAGGATGGCCTGGTAGAAGTAGGAAAGATGGGGACCAGAGGCCCTAAGCCTCCTCCGTGTCAAAGCTGGTGATTCTGAGTAATGGGTGGAGACCAGGTCACTGGGCCTGGGGGGCAGGATGCCCACCGGAGAGGTCAGCACACACACCACACTCTTCCCACCACAGGCTTCTCTCCCAAGAACTGGGGCTATCTGCCTGCCATCTTGGGAGTGCTGAAGGTGTGGAAGGATCTCCAAAGAGCCCTGCACCAGGGTCTCAGCCTTGGAGCAGGCTGGGTCCCTACCTTCTTGCCTGAAACTTCTTCCCCCTTCACCACACCACAATACTACGCAGCTACCATGTACGCGGCCCGTGCAAACCCTAGTGATATGGAGCGGTGCTTCTCCCAAAGTGCCACCCAAGGCTACAGTGCAGTGGGAGACATCTGGGCATCTAGGTGATGGTGAGTTTTATTACCCTGGGGGTCAGGAGGTGGCGGTGAGGGGTATAGGGCGGGGAATGGACTTCAAGGAGAGGGAGCAAGTGGATGGGGCCTGAGTCATTCAGAGACCATGAACATCAGTTTGAGTGGGCCTTGCGCTGTTTGACAGTGAGTCGTGGGGAGAGTTGACTGAAACAGCAGATATTCATTCATTCACTCAGCAGGTGTTTGATGAGCATGCATTATGTGCAGGGTGCTTGGGACAGCACTCTTCCTTCCTGATCTACGTGTCCACCCTACTCACTCATTCATTCATACAGTCTTTGCTCTTCCGTTCACCGGAGGATTTAAGGACTGGCCCCAGTTGAGAATAGAAAGGACAGCTAGCAGTTACCTGTGTCAGAGTCAAGGGGGAGGCTGGTCGCAAGCCCTCCACCTCAGTCTTGACCTTGCTGCGCTTGTGAATAACGATGGGGTTGACGGTGCTGCTCACGGCCGACTCGCTGCTCTGCTTGTTCTAGGGAGGGGCGTGCGAAGGAGAGCCCATCATGTGGAGGCATCCCAAGTTGTATGGGCTATACCAGTGGGACCCTCCCCACGCAGAACTTCTGGGTCAACCCTGGATTTGAGGTTTCAGAAGCTGAGTGCTCCCAGGTAAGTGCTCTGCCCGGAGGACCTCGGCCAGGACACAGACCAGAGCTTGGCCTGCCAGTCCCCTCCACCCCATTGTGTAGCTCCTAACTCCAGCACCCTGACTTCAGGGAAGTGCTGAGCACCCATCTTTCTATCCTGACAAGCTGGCTTCAACATCTTAGGCCTCCAAGAGTGGCAGGAGCAGTGCTGAGCCAGAGTGGGGCTGGAACTGTGGTGTCAGGTGTGAGAGGCCAAAATTCACTGGGGAGGCACCAGGTGGTCACTGGAGCTCAGGGTGGGGGTGTGGGGAAGGGGGAACTGAAGAGGGGCTGCTCTGGGCCTTGCAGTACCCTGTCTTCTTCCTAGCACATGGTCAGGTAAGGTCCTGTCCTGCTGGGGAGGTGGCCTGGGAAGTGGCTTTACCTCATGAACTATCATCAAGATCTGGGTCTCACGGCCTGTGTGGGTAACAAGCTCTTGTACGCACAATCACCCACCACAGTGGCAGGCCAGTTAGCCCAGGGTGAAAGGTAGAAGGAGGCTGGCTACTTTCAGATAAGCCAAATCTAATGCAGTCTGATTCCCAAGCCCTGCCATTTCTACTGCCCCATACTCTCTCTGATCCATTTTTCACGTAAAAACAGGATGTCATTGGTTCACCAAAGACTACTGTTCACGTCCCCCCCGGGCATGTCAAAGGTGCTCAGAGAAGGTCAATGAAACCACCTTTGGTAAACTCATACTCTAAAGTGCATCATATTAATTCTTATTCATTAATCCACCATTTAGTCACAAGTGCATGAAGTACTGTCACATGTATGGGATGAAGACTGCAGAACAGAGGTTGAGTGACCACCCATGTGAAGGTTGGCAGGACAGAGCCCAGCATCCAGCCCAAGGCCCTTGGGATCATGCAGCCTCTGCCAGGAAGGTATTCAGACCTGCAGCCAGAGGCTTTCCACAGGTTTTCAGCATGAGATAGCAATGCCCGATTCTCTCGGGGTCCAATCCTTGCTTCTTACCTGGTGGTTGCTGTCACTCAAACAGTTGCTGCTGCCGAGCTGGGTGGGCGTGGCATTGATGGAGGAGAGGGCCATGGGCTGCTGGGCCAGGAAGGTGGGCGAGGGCTGGATCAGGGGTGGCGTGTGCCCAAAGGCCGAGCCCAGGCCCCGCTGCTGGCTCAGGATCTGCTGGTAGGCCACGGGATTGATGGGATGGGGAAAGGTGAAGGCTGGGCTGCAAGGAAGAACAGACAAGGTCATAGAATGAGGAGGGAGGACAGGGGCTCAGTCAGGTTAACACTTCATGCGCAGAGGGAACCTTGCCCAGGGGCTGGGGTGGACCTGTCAGTAACCTCACTGGAACCAGGGCTTCACTTCAGTCAAGAACTTAAGTGGTTCCCCACTGACTGCCACCTTGGGCCTTAGCTCCCAGACCCTATCTCACCATGCAGCCTTCTGGGAGGTCGGTCCCTCGGGGGCTGCCCCGGGTTCTACCTCACTCCCACAACTGACCCCCACTGCTCTGAGCGCCCTTGCATTTGAATCCCGTTCAGTCCTGAAGCTGGTTCCAATGGCCCTCAACCAGGCACCTGCCCTGCGCTCTCCACTTCCATCAGCCTCTCTCTCCTTGAACTTCTATGACACCTCTAGGCTCTGCCATGTCTTTGGACATGAGTCACTTTCTTTTCCGAGCAGGAGCCTAAAGACCTAGTCAGATCTCTGAGGCTAAGCCATAAAAGACTTTGTGGCTTCTTCCTCGTTTTCTTGGACCACTTGTTCTGGGGTGGGTGGGGACTCAACTACCGTATTGTGAGGAAGCTCAAACAGCTTTACGGAGCAGCTTCTTTAATGAGAGACTACAGCGCTAGCCAACAGCCATTTTGGAAAGAATCCCCGGTTCATTCAGTCCCCACAAGACTAGAGTGCTGGCTGGCATCTTGACTACAGTTGCATGAGAGGCTCAGAGCTAAGACAGTCTTATATTCCTGGCCTGTAGACAAAGTGAGAGATAGTTTATTGTCCTAAATGGCCAAGTTTTGGAGAAATTTGTTAGGCAGCAAATGCTACTGCATATGCCGGTTTTTACTTTTACCCCACAGAACCATCCTGGCATTCCTAATCCCCCCTGGCTTCTCTCTGAAGGTCAGGGCAGTGCACAAGTTTCAAAGAGGTCAAGATCTGTGTGCTTAGAGCAAAAGGACTCATGGGCCACAGAGAGGGCACAGGAAGTGGGGGGCCACACCGGGACCACGGGGCCAGTCAGGGGCATGCCTGGCCCAAGTCAGTGCTACACCTTGGGTGGCCCCCAAAGCTGTCAGTAGCCAGGCTATGCCAAGACTCCTGCTGACATCATAGGGAAGGCAGCTTTGGCTTCATCACTGAATCTTCCTTGACAGGCCATTAAAAGTCACTTTTCACATTAGAAATCATGTGGGATGTTTATTGCTGCTTTATTCACAATTGGAAAGACATGGAAACAGCTCAAATGCC